ATATATACATTATTACGCATGCCCAGAATTGGCCGGGCCTGACCGGGTCGGAAGCATGCTAAGTTGTGTTGATGGGGGCGCAAAAATACCTACGGTTAAGGAGAAAAATCACAAACAACACCATTGTCAATACAGCACTTATTGTGTAGTCTCTAAACTAAGAAGGCATCATGTATCTAATGGATCCTATCCAAAGTATGTATATTATAAAGTAAAGTGTGCACGCTAAACGTTCCCTTAGTTGAATGAGTAAAACTCTGGTGGAATTTGACTTGCTCGATGCTTTGTTGAAATTGGTGAAAAGATGACCGAGCTATTGCCTTTATATTGGTCCTTTAAAAAAAAAAAAAAGAAAGAAAGAAAATTTAGACACCTTGTTTTATAAACAGTAACGCATTTATGGAACAATTTGAACTGTCTGTTGTAGTGAGATAATAATAATAATAATAATAATAATAATAATAATAGATGACATTAATAGAGCGCTCAACCCAGATTAAAGTACACAGGCTCTGGGCGCTTTACAATACAGTACAACGTACAGTACAACAGTAACATATAGAACGTTGTGTTCTGACTAAAAGAAAATCACATCAGGTTGCAAAGCGAGTCCGATTTCGTTTTCCACAAACATACAATCTAAATGCTCTGGCGAAAATATAAATAAATCATCCTATGGTAGTGGGGAAGGGGGGGGGGGTAACCATTTTAATTCATCATTGAAACTAATGATTTTTAGTGTTCTGGAGACGCGACAGAAAGAGCCAGGAGCTCAGTCGAAGAGGGGGCTGAGGGGAAGGGTTGGGGGCAGAAAGTGTAGACGAAAGCAGACGACAGAACATTGTTAGAGAGCAGGAAAGGAGGTGAGAGCAGAATATTCTGGAGAAGAAAATTTCCGTCGCTTTCCGGATTCGAACCCTCGACACCGTATCCTCTCTAACACGAGAGCCCTTTGTAAAGTTTGCATTGCTAGGTTTGCTCCATTGCTATATAAATCGTGGGTTGCTGGGTGATGTAATGTCAACTGCATGCGTCCGTTATTATAGCGTAAAAACTAAAGATCAAATATATTATGGCATTCTAGAGCGACTCGGATCTTCATTTTGTTAACAGAGAAACATGACATCTCTCTCTCTCTCTCTCTCTCTCTCTCTCTCTCTCTCTCTCTCTCCTGGTGCCCGATAAAGGTTAGAGCCTCGTCGCTGTAAAGTTTTCAACAGGCAGAATGAACATCGCTCTTCACAGATGTTATATTATTATTGGATAGCTTTAGGTTTAATTCTAATCTTTTCCACAAAGAGGGGTGATGATGATCACGATGATGATGATGATGATAAATTCTGTCGCACCAAGAGGAAAAGTCATATCGCATTCGAGATGTGAAATGCGACGACGTGGGATCACGTTCCATCAACAAAGATACCAGGGTTGTTGTTGTTGTTGACTCGTTACTTTTGATATCGCCTACTCTTCTCTGAAGGTGTGTAAAATCGGTCACGAATCAGTCCCTGTAGATGCAGGGATCACACAACTAAATAAAGGTAGGTGGTGCAATAAGGCAAACCAGCTAAGAATAGAGCGAAGCCTGGACGCAAGAAGCGACTATATCCACTATTGGAGAAAAGCAATTTTGAAATTTTGAGGATATTGAAATCTCTATAACGTAGTCAAAAAAGAAACCTTGATATCTCTATACCGAATTAAGCTACGGCTTAGATACTTACAGAGCTAAAAGAGCGACTTCATATCTCACTACACATATCGCTTACTCCATTTCGACCAAAAGTTAATATTATTAGTCCCTTCTCCTTGGTATTCTCTGCAGTCCTATATCTGCTGGTGGTTAGTGGGTGCTCTAGTGTGGTTTGCATCTTCTTTCCTATCATAATATAATAATGAAATATCGTCTTTATCTCGCCTCCTTTTTTTCGGTGCATGTTACTCTTTAGTACTACTCGTAACACCTCTATTCTTCAGCACTTATATGTTATGATCTATTCGTGTTTCAAACGTTTATTCAATTTAAACTAAGACTTTCTTTTCTTTTGTTCTTTTCCCCGTTTTCCTTTCTACCCACTTTTGCCGTTGAGTGTCCAGAGGAGATACAGTCCTGTATGGTAGACCAACTCTGCAGTTCTTTCAATAGAGATGTAGTTTATCAGGGTACCCTTGACTCCCTCAATCCAAAACTCAGACCAATAATATACCAAAAAGAAAGGCAAAACTTGTAAACGTGTGCAGTTGTCAGTAGCTTGCCTGGGCTGGAAGCGATAAAGTTGCCGTTATCTGAGAGTGAAGGCCTATTGGTACTATCTGTTCTTTGTTCTTAGTTCTTAGTTTTGAGTGGCGTTAGGAGATAGTGGATAGATCGCAATTGTGTATGTATGTGTGCATGTGTGTGATGTGTGCGTGTGTGTGTGTGTGTGTGTGTGTGTGTGTGTGTGT